CACAAAGCACACACACACACACACACGCACACACACACACACGCGCGCGCGGGCGCGCACGCACGTACACGAAGGCGAACACGCGCCCACACATACGTACGTGCGCATCTGCGAGTGCACACGTGCACACACAACCACGCAACCTGAGCTTGAATCACACCCAAGCAAAGCCACCCGCCCAGCTGCTTCAGCGTGCTGACCTTTTGATCCACCAATTGTCATTTCCCTCCCACTTTTCTCCGTCAACCCCCTTGAACCCCCCTATCCCCACAACCCACACGAACACACACGCACGCACACACACCACAGCTTGTATGGCGCCCTGGACCGGGCCCTCAAGGACTTCAAGGCAGACCCCGCCGCCTGGGGCCGCCTCTCGCGCCGCAATCTGCGGGCCGACGTGTCATGGGCCGCCCCTGGGGCGGAGTACGTCGGGCTGTACAGCTCCCTGCACGGCGGCTAGGCAGCTTCGCCGCGGCTTTCAAGGGGTTTATCAGACGCCTTCCCGCAGGCCCGCCTGGTGTGCGCTCCCTCCTGCCCCCCGGGGCTGCCCGCAGGGCCAAGCAACAGGGGGCGCAGACGGAGCCCTGCGCATTACAAAGGAGCGCCCAGACAGTAGGGATGCAGCCAGCTGCCCCGCCATTCCCCGCAAATAGCCACGTTCCTGAATTCGATGGCGTTTGCTCGGCGAGCCGCCCCCGCCACATGCCAGCCAGCAACCGCCGGCTCGGCCTGGCTGCGCGGTGGTGTGCCCGCAGCGGCGGCTTCGGCTGGCGTGTTCGCCGCTGGCACCGCCCTGCTCCGGGCCAGACACGCTGTGCTGCGACCGCCGGTGTGCCGTAGCGCGGATGTGGGCACGTGGTGGAGGTTTGCCTCCCAACCGCATTTGGCAGGCGGGCAGCTGCCCGGGCCAGTGCCCAGACCGCCAGCACGCCGGCCCGCCCCTCATCTTTTTGATAGCAAACCCATGTGTATGTATGTATGACTGAGAGAGAAAGAGAGATAGAAAGAGACGGCGAGAGGGAGCGAGATAGTTGTCACATGAGCAAGCGGCTGCTGCAGCACCGCGCTGCCAAGTTGCTTCATGTGGGTGCAGCCTTGAAGTCTGCCTGCCCACGCGCTGCCCTGGGTTTGAAGGCGCGGCGCGCCTCTGTTTTTTCCTGCCTGTTGCATGCAGGCGGCCAGCCTATGCTGCGGCTGTGGCTTTGCATGCTGCGCATCGGCTTTTTGTTGAGTGATGGTTCTTTTGCCTGCACCCTCTTGGGGCTCATTTTCTGGTAACAAATCAAGTTGTGTCCCATGCCAGGCAGCGGCTGTCGGAATCGACTGTCGCTTTGCGGTGATGTTTGGGTGCATGCTGTGAGTGTGCACACGTGCGTGCATGCATGTGCGTGCATGCATGCGCGCGTACGTGCGTGCGTGCATGCGTGCGTGCACATGTGTGCATGTGAGTGAAGCTGCCATGCGACCTTGCAGCTGTGCCAAGCGGCGGACACCGCACCATTTTGCAAGCCGTGAGCTTTGCCCCTTCGGGAGTGGCTGGTCCAAACGACTGGGCTTGCACGTTTGACCATGCCGAGGGGGTGCGCATTTGTGATCCCTTGCAACAGAACAACATCACATGACATCTGTATGGTTGGAAGCCGCACAACGCTTGGGCCCATCATATCTGGGGTGCAGCCGCGCACGCTCCACTGTGGCATCCGCCGCAAGGGCGACAACATCAGCGGCGTCCCCGCACGGCTCTCTTGAGTACCGGTAGCACAAGCAAGATCCAATTGGCGTATTTCTCCTGTGCTTTACATTGGGCACACTGTGCCCTCACCAAGCCACAGCGAGGTCGAGGCCAGCCCTTGCGAGCTCGATCACAGTGGCCCGAAGGGGCCCCGCACCGCGGAGGAGGACGGGGTAGCAGACCGCTATCAGGATGACGGAGGTGCTGAAGCGCGGCTTCCCGGTAAGCCCCACTAGCCCTCTCTGCCCGGTGTGTGCGAGCTGCCACCACCCCCTGTTGGCCTTAGTGAAGGTTTCGACTCACTCAATCCGCGCGTCTCCGTCGCAAATATCGCCTACACGTGGTGCCCTAGGGGTTGAAGGTGCGCAAGGGAGGGATGGACGCAAGGGATGCGCCGAGATCGCGAGCGCTGCAGGACGCTGCTGCAGCGCCGTCGATGTAGGCGCTCGAAAGGGCACGCACTGCGGGCTTCGCTCAACCCACTCGTCCACCCACCCATCCTCCTCCCTCTCTCCTTCGTCCTCCGGGCAGTCTGCCAAGGACTTGCCCATTCTGCAGGACACGCCGCCGCCGGGCGGCTTCCCCGCGATCCGCATCGACCGCCGGCTCCCGAGCACGGGCCCGACGGGCGTGACCATCTTCGCGGTCGGGGCTGCGGTGTCTGCGTATGGCTACTACAAGGTGCGGCGGCTGCTGGCGGTCGCCGGCCCCGCGGTTGCCCTTTGTGTTGCGTTTCCTGCCAGCCGCTTCCTCACGCATCTGCCCGCAGCTTCAGCAGCAGCCAAGCCGCGCGCGGCGCCGCAGACAAGCGGCGCCGGTATTCCACCGTAGCAAATGAAGGGAGCGGTGCTCCTGAACAGCAGCCGTCCATCTTGCGTGAACCTCACCTGGAAAACGCCCTCCGCGCCGCAGATTTACCAAATGATCCAGGCACGCAAGTGAGCGCGGCGCTGCGGAGGTCATGGGCGTTGGCTGCAGCCATTGCAGACATGGCTGGGGGATGGCAGGGACCCCATTGTGGGATGGGGGCTCGACCGCGCTCAGCGGTTGAATGCACCTGCGTATATTAAGTAGCGGCAGCGGCGGCGCCTCATGGTGGCGCAAGCGACAAATTACGCCGCAGCATGCCCATGAGATGGGGTTGTCGCTGCATGGGGATTTGGCTAGGGGAAGCAGCCCGTTTGCAAAGCCGGCAACGGCGGCTGGCACGGCGGCCGGGTATGCGGCAGTTGGGTGCGGCGAGAAGGTGCAGCTTCGCCTGAGCACCGAGCGGCCACTGAATGTACTGGCGGGCCCAGCGCGCGTGCGCCGGCGCTGCTTGCAGCTGCAGCAAGCCGCAGCCCAGCAGGGGCGCACTCAGCAGCTGCGGCGCCGCTGGCGGCGGAGGCGCCGGGGGGCGTCCGCACCACTGGCAGGGGCGGCGGCAGCCGCGCGGCAGCCCAGCGCGGGGACGACAGCTGCGACGACGCGGCGGCGGCACTGCCGATGCCAGCAGCATCACAGGGTGCATCCGGCTGACAGCCGTGGCCATCGGCGCAGCTGTCAAGCAGGGCAGCTGCAGCAGCGGACCGACAGCTGCGCTAGGGGCGTCAGCCTGCTCAAGGTTCTTCTCAGCTCCCCTGAGACACACCTACCAGCAAGCAAGGGGCCCCTCCCTTTGGCATGCGCCACACACACACACACACACACACACACACACACACACACACACACAACACTTGTACACACATGCACATGCACACAAATCGCACACATGCACGTTCCACCCACTCCCCCCAAAAAAAACCCACCAAAGGGCTGACACCGTTGATCTGGAGTTGACGCGGGCCCCGGTCGTCCCCGTGCTGCAGGCTGAGGAGGACATCAAGTGAGCTGCTGGGGTTGGAGGTTGCAGGGGCCAACAAGTCAGGCGCATGCCTTTCGAATGTGGGGGACGCCTGTGGCGTGCACGTGTGAGGCGTGAAACTGGTGCACAAGCCCCTTCACCCCACCTATTGCAAGTGAAGCTATGGGTCTTCTTTGCACATAGGGCATCGTGCATGTGTGTGTGCGTGTGTGAGGTGAGTGTGTATGTGTGTTTGCGCACTGGGGCACTATTGTTGTCGCGTGGCCGTCGTGCGTCCGCTGCTGCGGCCTTGTGGCTTTGCCCTCTCACGCACCCGCGCCTGCGTCCCTGTCACCCACGCCCTCCTCGCCGCGCCGCAGGTGGGTTGAGCGCCGGAAGGTGCAGCTGGAGGAGGAGGCGCGCATTATGAAGAACGTGAGGGGGTGGGGTGGGGTGGGGAAGAAGCCTTTGGATGGAGGCTTGCTACCGTGAGGGGGAGGGGGAGCATTTCGGGCTCGACAGCATAGGAGTGGTGGCAGGGAGCAGCGCCCACGCATGGATGCGGACCAGAAGGGTGTGTCTCTGGTGGCAAGAAAAGACAAACGGCGGACCGGCGAGGATGCTTGCAGTCAGGGTCGTGAGCGGCCGCGCCGCCGTGCTCAAGCGTCTCAAGTTCTGCCGGCTCGCGCGCTGACCAGCGCCCCGCCCCTGCCGCGCCCCTTCCCCCACAGGTCCCCGGCTGGGTTGTGGGCGAGAGCACGTCCGCCACCGGCCGCCACATCCCCGGGCCAAAGCCGTTTGGCATCTGGGACCCCATGCTGCAGTAGTCTGTCCCTCGCACGCGCCCGAAGATCGTCTGCGCCGCGCGCCTGCGTGCGGCCGCTCTGGCCCGCCGGGCGGAGAGGCAGGTGCCTGCCACGCCCGCGCGGCAGCACTTCCAGCGGCGAGCAGCGCGCGCGCCCGCTGCTGCGCCGGCTGCGCCAAGCTTATCCTTTGATTCCCCGCCCACTGTCCTGAGTCGGCAACGAGTTGGCCTTGGGGGCACACGTGCGTGCAGCTGTTCTTCGGCGGTCCCTCGCGCTGCCTGGCCGGCTTTGCATCGCCGCCCGTGTGTAACTCCACGGCATGTCAACCACCGTCCGAACCCAAGCCGCCCACGGTTTAGGAACGGCCTGCTGATATGCAGCGCAGCGCGGCGGCTTCCTGGTGGCTCCCACTCGGGATTCAGGCTTGGGGATGCCACCTCAGCAGCAGGCTGCAGGCGCGCTGTCAGCCTTGCGAAGCACCTGAGGTTTCCCCAGCCCGCTCGCGATTTGCCTTCAGGGACGCGCTGGCCTCGTTTCGCCCATGCTGACGCTGAGAGGTTTCCGGATGGCAGCACATGGGGGGCGGACGTTCCAGCCAGGTGCCACAACGCCATGATGGGCTGCCGATTACTACCAGCTCAGTGTGGAATGGAACGAGGACGCGGGCACGCGCCGCGCTGAAAAAAGCGTGCAGGCGCCGCAGCGTGGCGGGTTGCTGCGCCGCGCACAGGGGACCGGCCGCGTCGGCCCGCATTTTAAAAGCGCAAGGGGTGGGGGCGTGCGCGGCGCACCCGCCGAGCGCCGCGACTTGGCGTGGCTTCGCCGGCGGGGCGGTCTAGTTGGGTCATGTCCTTGTGTGGGTGAGAATTCAGGCGAGAGGATGGTCAACGCACACCACAAGCAAACAGGACAACGCGTCATTGAACGAAACGTCCCCGGCCCACGGCAGGGTGCCGGTCGCATGTGCGCCGCGTGCTCTCCTGGGTCAAGAGCCCCGACCCTCGGTGCCGGCTTGAGTCCCCGGGTCAGCTGCTGCCGCGATACTAGCGCAGCTGTTCACGCAGGCGCCATGCGCTCCCGCACAGGCGCCCGCCGTCGCTGCTGCCAGCGGCCGCGCGAGCATGCTCCAGGGCGCCAAGTGCAAAGCAGCGCAACCCCAGGGGGGCGCGGCGGGCCGGCTGGGCCCCAGCAAGGCGCGCCCGCAAGCGCGCCGCGCTCTACTCGTCCTCGCCGCCCTCCCCATCATCACCGCCGTCGCCCTCGCCGTCGCCGCCGTCGTCCTCGCCCTCCTTC